TCACGAATTTTATGTACTGTGTTAAATCGAACCTGGATCTTGTTTGCTCATGATTTTGGAAATCTTTTTAGTGACCCCTGCTATGTATGGCAAGATGATGGTTTTGATTGGGTCCTCAAATGGTTCTTTCCCAACGGTTGGGGTGATAGCTTTACGGATTGTGTAGTCTGAATATCCATTCATCTTGAGAGCTTGGTGTACCAGATGGCTCAATGGGATACTCTGTCTACAGGAAAGCCACCCATACGGATGCATATTTAAAACCTGACTCCCACCACCATCCATCCCAGAAGAAGTTCCTCATCAAAACTCTACACCATAGAGCTCGATGTATATCCGACCATCATCACCTAGCCAGTGAACTGGAACATGTGGAAAACCAATCACCATCGGGTTGGCTACCCACCTCTTGCATTAACATTGGCTACTGACATTTGGGCTACGCCCATTTAAAATCCTTAGAAACAGTTTGCCTTTGGAAGCTAACCCCCTTTCCTGAAGACGACCGCTTGTGTTGCGATCGAAACGTCGTAGTTTTTTTGTTATTTTCTTTGAACCTATCTACGTGACTTTATTGAAAGACCCAAAGAAAATGAGATAGGTACATTTAGCGTGACGAGACCGTAGGGGATGGCGACGGCTTAGGGAGGTCTTCATCTAGCAGTAGAGAGATAACGGCCAGTACAAATTATGATGATGATGATGTGTTTAGAATCCGTATGAAACAGTGGGCACATATCGACCGTCGTAAACATTTGAAATGCGACAGGGACTGTCCGCTCTCCACGCACGCGCGGTGCGGGGGGCGCGTGGCAGCTGCCGGGCACGCGCGTGGGAAGCCCTGCGCTGTTATCTCTCACTCCGGAGACACCGTGCGTGCTGCTGCGGCCGTGGGGCCGTGGGGCTTCGGGCTCGCTGGAGGTTCAGATATGCGGCGTTCGCGCCGTAGATAAGCGCAAGCACGTCCCGGGGCCCGCGCCGGCGATGGCAGAAAGCGGCCTAGATTAAAAATGTAACGCTTCGTTCCCAGCAGGCTTTGGGTTCGTCCTAGCCGAGAAGTAAATTTACTTTGTATTTCTTTATTTTGTTTATACTGCGTGATGGAATGAATTTTACATGAGGTTTTAAAATGTAACAAGCGTGCGCGCTCGGATTTGCACGGATAGAAACAAGTGGGCCAAGAGCTACTGGAGTAGAATGAGTAAGAGTTAAGTTTTGTTTAACGTTATGTGACTGTCTTTTCGCTCTGTTATTTTGTTTCAGATTTGTACGTTAAACCTCGATTGCACTCTATTGGTTTTTAGTTGCTGACCTAGGCCACCATTGCAACATAGATTTATTTTTTTCGTTCTAATCTCTCCCAAATGTTATCCCAAATTGTGCTCCCAGCTTCGTGTCTTGAGAACACGTATACATTTGAAAGCTTGCAATGCAGTGTAAGGGGCCATCCATTTAGTACGTACGCATGGAGGGGGGGTTAACCCAAATGTGTACCCTTGTGTATGGTGGGTCTACTGACAATGTACATACGCATAGGAAACGGGGTGGTGGGGGAGTGAAGCCTCGATAATAATATCATTTGACTACATTGGCCTTCAAATGAGTTAGATAGTCCGGCGGTGGACTATATGTTAAACACGTTAATATTATTCATCCTTGATCGTTTCTGAATGGATTAAATATCGGCCGTTCTATAGGATTCGGGGGGGGGGGGGGTGCGTCAAGCGTGCATACGCAGGTGAGAGGGGGGGGGGGGTGGAAAAAGTACGCGTGTGTACAGGGAAGTGGGGAGGGGTCAAGTTTTGACAATTTTTTGCGTACCTACTAAATGGATGGCCCCTAACCATTCGTGTCATAACAATGACCAACGGAAGCGGATGTGATAGAGCTACTTCCAAGATCCCCTACAAAGTGACCTCTGGTACACGCACAGTAGGGGGCAGCACTTCCGACTCGCTCCGCCACTGAGAGTGATGATCGTCACGTGGTCAGCTGCCTGGAGTTAAACATCCGGAATCTCAAATTCTTAGGTTTTTTCGGTAAAGTCACGTAGGTAAAACATGAAAATTTAAATTAATAAAAGTTACATAAAAATAAAATAAAAATAAAAATCACGACGTTTCGGAGGCAACACGAGAATATGAATCCTTGCAGTCACGAAAGCTTCAAATCTAGAATCCGGAATCTCAGCATTCAACTTTTTGTATTATCCCGGATGATCAGGGATATTTTTTTGTGCACTCAGTCCACTGCAACTTGAGAACCCGCTTTAATCACTGACAGTGGCCTCGATTTGAACTCAGCATCTCAGCGGCAACAGTGCAGCGCTCTGACCTTTGAGTCACTCGGCCACCCCATTGCAAAAGAGACGTGAAGTCTCAATGGGTTTTCACCTGCCTGGTGAAATAAAGTCTGTCATTCAATCAATTTAAATGACCATTTTCCATTAAAATAAATCATTCACATTGACAAGTTTCAGGCATTGTTTATTATGCATTCCATTTATTTACTTGTGTGTTGTATAGTCTATTATATATAAAATCAGTATGTTATTTTTAATTCAAAAAGCACTCCGAGGTGCCTTACAATTTCGACTGCTCACATCTTTCATGTGGCTTGTATGCCGCAATCAACTGCCAACTGTGAAGCATTCAAAACCACCGACGGTTCTCGTAATACATTTCGATTTTATTTGACTCGAAAAGCCAGGTTTTTCCTATTTGTTTACCTGTCGACGTTAACTGTTTGATGTCCAGAGAGGTTCCATCGAGAGGGGCGCCTCGCTCACACGCACACCCCGTGTGCTGCTTCCTTGCCCCCAGTGCTCACGTGGATGTTTTGCTTCGGGTCCTTAGGGGTTTCCCTCCACGTGTATAAACATGCTTTTGGAGCAGTGTTCTTCACTCATTTTCAGAGCGGGGTCCACTTTCGCCGATAAGAAATCATCAGTGTGAGGGCCGCCACACATTTTAAACCATTGGGTTTGACCCCACGATGATGACGATGATGATGGAGGTGTTTTCACATCTGTGTATTGTCGGGGGCCGCACTAAAGGCCACCAGGAGCCCGCCAGTGACCTGCCAGTGGTCCGCGGGCCTTGCAACGAAGAGCACTGATTTATGTGATTTACATTATTTGGGTGCTGTACATTTCCACATACGCCACTTATTTGAGCCTTGATTTGTGGCCAGGTCGTTTCTGAAAAGGAACAGCATCGCTCAATGGGCCTTGTCTGGTAAAAATACAATCGTTTAGTTTTATTTACATATATTTTTAGTGATTTTATTACCTTCCAACTATTTTCACTCCTATCGTGTTTTGTACTGTTTGTTGTTGTAACGTTCTGACCCGCCCCCCAACTGGACATCTGTAAAATAAAGAGCTTTATAGCTCATCGGATTCCTCCAGGATAAATATTTTGATTCAATTAGGTGATGTCACCGTTGCTCTGCAGATTGTTGCCAGCACCTGTACCTCCTGCAAGAGGTTAGGGTCCAAGGTAAGGTCACGTCATTGGTCCCGCTGAGATCCTAGGTTCAAATCGAGCCAGCTAGCCGGTTATAAACAAGCTTATCATGTGCAAGAGTTGATTTTCAGCGAGGTCACCAATGATTATACGCAGAAAAATGGGGAGTTTCCTTTAGTTTGGCTAAATTCCAGCTCCGAGGATTAAAAAAAAAGAACATGTTGGTTTGTATTACGTGGAAGGATCGTGAGAGATGGCGATGGCTTTGGGAGGTTTACATCCAGCAGCGGAATGATCGTCACTAATAGTAATTGAAATTTGGCTGCCATACGGTGAAAATCTTTTACAGGCCACGGGGGAAACTGCAGTGCCTCCGGTGTGGATGAGAGGTCAACAGAAAGCATCGTAGAAGCTCAGCGATGTCACTTTCCAACGAACCGACATACTCCCAGAGAGTTGCAAATTGACCTATCTTTGTCTCTTGACAATGACACGGACAATATCATTGCAATTTGAACCGAGCTAAAATTATATACATATATAAATTGTGTTCAATTTCGATTTAAAGCTTTCGTGACTGCAGGGATTCATCTTCTTGGTTCTTTCGGTAAAGTCACGTAGAAGGGAAATAATAAAATAATAAAAATAAAACATTATAAAATACAATTCTCACGACGTTTCGGCCACAACGCAAGCAGCCGTCCTCAGGTGAAGAACAGGTCTGTCGGAAAGACAGCGTCTTCACAGACCTGTTCTTCACCTGAGGACGGCTGCTTGCGTTGTGGCCGAAACGTCGTGAGAATTGTATTTTATTATGTTTTATTTTTATTATTTTATTATTTCCCTTCTACGTGACTTTACCGAAAGAACAAAGAAGATAAATTTTGTTCAGTCAAGGGACAGAGAAGAGTCCAGATCATGGAAGTGGTTACTGAATGGAGCAGTAGGATAATGTCTCCTCCAGCCATGTCGTCTGTTCGAGGCGAGTGAAATTAATTTGTTAGTAGCTTGGATGATCATGTTTTGTGTCAATGCAGACACGTATGTAACCTGTGGATTTCTATTTAATTCATGGGCTATTATGAAAACTGACAAATATTCTTATACCTTTGTGAGTTATGACCGAGTTTCACTGCAAGGCACGTTCAATTAATAGAATGATAAATGCAAAGCCGTATTGTTTGGGCACAGCTCGTAATAGGGAAGCCAGTATTTTAAGGCTTTACGAGTACCTTCACACGTGTCTGTTGGTTCAAGAGAACCAAAAGGCTGCAGAGCGGTTTAATTAAGGTTCGGAAAAACCTCTTTGATGAACTCGGCCTTAATTTTAAGCAAGCCGAGAAGGCGGCGAAGTAAGTGCAGAATCTGCGGTGGCAATCCGGAGGGCAGGCAATGATTATTTTTAATTTGAAAAATGTAATTAAGATGATCTTGACTATTTCATTTATATAAATATATAAAAATTGTGTGCAGTGCTCGGGGCATGTCCCCGCAGCTGTGTGAAGTAAAAAAAAAATCTGCAAAACCCCGAGAGATTTTCTTGCATTTTATTTCTGGTGGGAATCTAGCAGGTAATTATATCTGCTTTTGCATGAGCATGCAACGTAACATTATTCTCTTAACACAATTCAACAACAACAACAACAAATGGTACCTCTCTTGTAACCGAATCCTTCGGAAAGTTAAATGTAATAAAGGTTAAAATAAGATAGTGTCGTTAAACCATAATGGGGGCACGTGGAGAAATAAATGGAATCCCAAATCTTGTTTTACCTTCGGAAATTTTCACGGTTGTGCTGGATAGCACTGAGAAGTTTTTTTTCTGGTTGCACCACACGTTGCTCGGCACGATGTTCGACGTTTGGCTCCAAATACTCGGAGCTCCTACAGGAACTTAATTTAGCTATGCAGCACAACCATGAAAATCCACATTCAGTTCCTGAAGATGCTACCAGGACGTGGGGCGAAACGTCAGACATCATGCCAAAGAATTCACATTTCACATTGGATAGCTAAAGATTTCGTGGCAAGAACCGTAAACCTGCATGGTTAAATTATCGGTGTCTGAAGGCACTGACTGAGAAGGCTCCCCACCCCCATCAATCCCAGCATCTCTCGCCGGTGCCACATGTCGGTGGCCAAAGTTGCCCGCTCTTGGCCTGCTTGTTCGACGCGTCGCACAGCAGCCCTCAACAGCCACAAGGCCCCCTCCGCCTGATGTTGCCGCAGGTGTAGCTCAAGAACACTGCACACCGCCTCTGCTTCGCAGCAGACAGACGTGGTATAGGCCGTGTCTGCCGCCGGCATCACGGTCCATATTTGAAAGTTACCCAACAAGTAACTTAATTGATCTAATTGGGTAAAACCAAATAGCAACAATGCACTCCTACCGGCAGACGATACCAATTTGTTAACTGTATGTCATGATACCACATGGACGCATTCTTCTTCATCTTTAGTGTACGTGTGTTTCGATGTGTGAGGTTTTCTCAATGTAGGCCTCCTGCTGTTGTTGCTGCTGCTGCTGCCCAGCTGAGGGCCGGAAATTCTTGCAACATGTGCTTCGCGTAGCGGTGGGTGGCGAGAGAGCCGAGGCTTTGGCGCATGCTTCGTGATCTGGGTGTCCCCTCTGAGTGCGGAGGCCATCGCGTGGACGTTGGCCGGGCGGCTGCTGCTGGAGCTGCTGCTGCTGCCCCTTGCAGCAGCCCTCAAGGTGAACACTCGAGGCAGGGTCATTGCGGCGGTGTCTTGCGCGGTGGATCTGATCTGAACGCGAGCGATACGTTCCCAGACAAGACTGTCACATCGGCACGCGGTGTGTGCTCAAGAGTGCCGGTTTCATTATGCACTTAAATGTAAATTGACTTCACTAGCCATGATTTAAGGAAATTGATGTCAGAGAACGGGAGCTAATGAAAGAATAGACAGAGAATAATTAACGTGTGACATGGATAAGTTAATATATGTCACCTCCTGTAGGGTTCTGGCAACAATTAGCACTGACAATTTCACATTCATTAGGCTCTTAATTAGTTGCACGGAGCAGTGCTTGCACATTAATTTTTCTCAACTTGCCAAAAAAATATTTCAAATTACAATTGTCTTGCCATTGCCAACCTTTAAGGGGAGATCCGATTTAGCCTTTTCAACTGTCACATTGCTAATGAGCAAAAATTAAAATGTTTAATTAATTTCTTGGTTTTTTTGTTCTTTATAAAACACGATTGGTAAATTAACGAATCGCAGTGCGGCGGGTGGTTTTTTTGTTGTTTTCGTTCAGTAATTAACGGACGACGAGTCTCGCGGTCGACAAACTCAGTCAACTCGTGGAGCGGCTGTCGTCACCGACGTCCGTGTTCACTTCGGAGCACGCGCGGCACGAAACGCGAGCACGCCCCGAGGGCAGGAAACGCGAGCGTGCCCCTGGGGCACGTCCATCACGGGGACGGAGCAATGAAAATCATCTCGTGTGCAGGGGCTAGATACGATGGTTTGCAGCGCAGGATTTTGTGAGGTTGAGAGAGATGGCGAGACGGCTTTGGTGATGCCTTCATCCAGCAGTGGATGCATCAAGATCATGGCAGGGGATGTATTAAAATGTTACCTCTTGTAAGCTGTGAATGATTAAGTTCGCACGGCGCTCGAACACTTGCGGATGAACTGGCTGCAGTTTGAACTCATGTGTGCAAGTGCGTGGGTGTGTTGGTGTGCATAGGTCGATGAATTCCCCGTGTGGTGTATAAACACCGCCACTGGGGAGATAAAGGCGGCCGGGTGTGGTGCTGGCCACCCACCCCCTCGCGTGCCGTGCCAGCCTGCATAGGCGCTACTCGCTAACAACGCTTGATCCAAATAGTCTGTTGAGGCTATATGACGGAATATTTGACTTTTGGGGCTGCATATGCACAATTCCTGCACAAACATCCTTGACTCGCAGCCAGGCAAGGAGCCAAGTGAATCGCGGGGTGTGGTGGGATGTGCTCGTATGTTTTTACGCTTCACATTTCTCAATTGCGTCGCGTAATCTCATATTCACGAAGGTCACACAACACCACGGGCGCATCGGCGGGCGAATCTCGCGAGCCACCAATCTGATGGAATTGACCCAGCACCGAGACACGGCCGCTCAGATATTCCTGGAGACTCGGGGCGCACAAGGCCATATGGGGGGGTCTACTTGTTTACCATCCACAGGGCCATCTCTTGGCGGGGCCCTCTTGTGTGTGGGCCTGGGACAGACTGAAACGTTTTGCAACCAGACGCGGCGTGGCGTTTCCGCGCAAACGACGAAGCCGTCCCGCATTTGCCTTCGTTGGTGTTGGTGGTGCCCTCGTTGGCCCATCGTCATTGCTGCCTCACTCCATTATCCGTGGGTAGATTGTATCCAGGCTGCAGATGAACCTTTCACGCGCGCGTCGCTTTCATTCTTACCTTGCTTCTCACTCGTCGAGAGCCTGCCATGTCGTGGACTCATCCTCTTTGTCGCGTCGGCTAAAGCGGCGTCTCACATTAAGTCACATGCTTTGAGTTATTTAGTGTTGATGTGAAGACCGCATAACCCCCCCTCCTTCCCCACTACAAGTTTCAGAACGTGAGCCAATCAGTGGACTCAATATATATTTTCATCCATAATGAAAATATATATACTGTATATGTACAGCCAATTACCACGCTCGGTCTTCCTCATTGCATTACAGTCTCTAATTATAATGTATGTATGCGTTTTGAACCTCTTTTGCTCCATATGTAGTCAACTGTGCTAATCATAGGTGCGGTCTGTATGTTCATTCAGACTCGTTAAGTTCATCTAGTCACAGTCAGTCGCACTCTGATCTTTGCTGGGTAGTCATAGTCGTCGTCACGCTGGATGAATTTCTGTCCACTCAGAGTCGCCGTTGCTTTGATGAAAGGGCAGCGACACCGTTTCATCGCCGTCGCACATCTGCAAAGCGAATCTCTCCTCTAAAGTATATTTGAGTTGACGTGGTGACATGGCGACACTGGAGAGAGGTGGCGGCTCTATGGAGAGATGGTGACACGGGAGAGAGATGGCGGAATGTCAGCCAACGGTGAAGCATTCAGAGCCGTTATCGCAGGTGATTCGCCAAAGTGTATTTATTAAGCCCAGGTCTGGCAATTAAGCCATTTCCAGGCGCTCGACCTCGGAGTTTTCGGAGTTTTCGTTGTGACGTCGGTGCTTGCGGCACGGCAGGCGACGTCTCCGCATCGTTCCTGTAACAACACGCGATCAAGATCAGCCACTCGTGTAACAATCCCTTTCCGCAAAAAGAAACTCGCTCACGTCCTGCCCATCATCATCATCATCCCTGCGGGGATCGATAAAATGAATACAGCTTTGTGGGGAAGCCAAAAGTGGTTGTCATAGGAATGAGGAATTTCCACCAGTGGATTTGGGCTGCATATGGAAAATGAGGACTGCCTCGATGCTCATTTGGGCAGAAAATCACTTTGACTTTCACCATAGTTATTCTCATAGATGAATTTGTTATTTAAAAAGTGCTGCTGCTGGAATGTTTTCTGGGTTGTTTATATGGCTTTACATTCCAGCCTGCGACCTCCTACTTCGCTGCCTTCTTTCTTGTATTTCGATTTAAAGCTTTCGTGACTGCAAGGATTCATCTTCTTGGTTCTTTCGGTAAAGTCACATAGAAGGGAAGTAATAAAATAATAAAATAATAAAAATAAAACAATTCTCACGAAACGTCGTGGAAATTGTTATATTATGTTTTATTTTTATTATTTTATTACTTCCCTTCTACGTGACTTTACCGAAAGAACCAAGAAGATGTTCTTTCTCGTATTTCAGCCTGTCGTGACTGGGATACGTTTCACTTTAATGAAGAACTCTTGTCCCCTTACTGCAGTCAAAACTTTCAATTTATTCAAATATAGGCTATAGTGCGAAACTTGTTATGAATGTTCAATATTCCAAGCAGCCCCTCGCGCTTGCGTAAAAAAAAAAAAAGTGCAGCACACAAAACAACTTCGGCGATGTCCACAAATGAGACGAACATGCGGCGAGAATGCGCAAGAAGTCACGAAGATTTGTGACGGAGCATGGAGTTGGTGGAGGAGCATAGAGTTCGGAGTGGAGCGTGGAGTACGGAGCGTGGAGTTCGTGGCGGAGCGTAGAGTTTGTGACGCTGCTCACGGTGTGTGTGATCTGAGCCGGACGGGAGACTGTGACTTGCTGTTGGTTTCTAGATCGAAACAACAAAATCACTAGTCTTCCACCCGGCCGCAAGACCAGAGTGGCCAGGCTGCCATGCCGCAGGATCATGCCAGCCAGAGCCAGAGGGGATCCGTCGTCATAGCAGAACCCGTGGAAAAGAGGCCAAGGGAACGGGTAGGGTTGTGCAATATGGGTGCCACGGTGGCGAGATGTTAACTACCTCACCTGGTACACAGGAGGTATTGGGTTCGATCCCGACCCTGATGCCTGCTGTATATTTGGAGTTTCCATGTCTCTGTCCGTGTGGTCGCGGGGATTTTTAATCTGGTTTTCCCCTCCACATTTAAAATCAAAAAGCGTTTAGAGTATTTGGCTGCTATACATTTACAAGATGATAAGCCACTACGCTGAGCTGTAATATGTGGCCAGGTCACTTCTGAAAAAGAGCTGTGCAGCTCAGTGGGCCTTACCTGGTAAAACAAAAAAATATAGTTTCGTTTAAATAGTTTGCCATATCAGTTTTCAACCAACGACATCTTCCGATATATAAATGTTCACTACTTGTTCCCCAACGTAATTGTATTTCACGTTTGTTGTCTTGTTTTTGGGCTCTGCAGTACTTCCACTGCAGTGAAAGATTGTTTACACAGTACGTATCCATCTGTTTAACTGAAATATTTTACTCGAATAATCCCCTGAGATGGATCATCTCATTGGCAAGTGTGCCCAGAATGTCGCTTGACACATACACAGCAAACGCGTATACAGAACAAACATTTTCAATCTATAACCGCAGCTCACTCAGCATGAGCCTGCCATTGGTCTTCTCATCCTTGCAACTTTACGATGTTCGTAACGCACATGGTGACAGTCACAACAAAAAATATTACTTTAACTTTTACAACAGTCGAGGCTTGCTTTGAGTTTCTATATGAGAAAACAAGCATGTTTAACAGGGAAAGTGACCGTATATTTCGCTGTTTAATTGTTTTACGTAACTCAAAATATACATAATTAGCTTCATCTCACAATCGCTGATGAATCACAGACAAGCTGCAAGACTGCCAGGTAGTGAGCCGGCAGCCAACAATTGCTCTGCAGTTCTCTTTAACGATGTTTCCAGCCAATTACTGAGTGCTTATATACATGTGCGAAGAAACGGGAGCGCCTGGAGAAAACCCACGCATGCCAGGAGGCAGCGCTCTTATCCCGCACAGAAGTGACAGATGATTCAAGTCCGCACTTTGTTGGACCGCATGCTGCTGCCGAGCCACGCCGTGGGCGCCGTGATCCCCACGGAAAAGAAGTGTCGCAACATTACTACTACTACATTTTGCCACTGGTAAAGGAGATGTCTCATAGTGTAAATGCTTACCCCGAGCTCTCAATACTCTGATAGTGCACTGTTTTTGAGTTGTACGCCTTTTGGTGTCATCTGGTCCAACACCAATGGAGACTTGGCTCTAAGGAAAGCTGTCTCGGGTGTGGGCCAATCAACTTCAAGGACAGTGCATATTATTATCATTATCAGCGTTGTTTCTTTTTGTTTGCATTTTGACTACTTGTGTCGTGGTTATTGCAAACATGATGCCTTGTATTAAGGTGTCAGTTTTTGTACCAGTTTAAAGGGTAAAAGCCTACTACTATATTTTGCCATTGGTAAAGGAGGTCTCATATTGTATTTTGTCATTTATGCGGTCACCCACCAACCCTCGCCTCTGCAGCGCTGGGATGGACGATGTGGTTATCGCGGGGGGCTTTGCGTGGTACGTCGGTGCGTCGCCAGTTCACGGCGACTCCTGCAGGGGCTCGTCGTACTGCTCGCGATGGGGGGGTGGGGGGGCGATTCAGCGGGAACGGCTCTCTGCGTGCCAGCCGGGGGAACGCGACGCCGGCAGTGAGCGCGAGCCACGGGGATCCTGTGCCGAACATGACGGCCGCGATTTGATCTCAGCAGCGCTTCCGTTTAGAGCGTGCGCGTGCGTGCGCGTCCAATTTGAAATGTAACAAAGAAGGCATGAGAGCGGCGTCTCGGCAGTGCGCCGGAGCCTTAACAAGGAAAAAGCAGAGAGAGGGGAGAAAAAAAAAACAACTCAAAAAGAATCTCTTGTCTGAAGCCACTATTATCTTTTGTATCGCAGACTCTGATGGGCCCTGCCTTCGGTGGTGTTTGAGGCTTTTATGGCCGCATTATTGCGTACTCCGGGGCCCTTAAAATTTTGGATGATTGTGGAGGGGCGTGATTGTTAACAGCGTTCGGAGGAGGAACTGTGGTGCCGGAGGCGGAGAGAGGCGGCAGGGAAGTAGAGGCGAAGGAATAAAGCGAAGTTCCAGGGAAATAAATAAATAAAGCATGTTTCAGAATGACCACGCGAGGTACAGAATGGAACATCTGAACGGCGCCTTTTGCGGCACCGTCTCCCGTAAGGTCAGCAGACTCTCCCGCATAAATAAATCGCTTTAATAAATCTCTTTAAAAGTGGGATTTGATTAAATCTGCTGGTGCATTAAACCTGCGCTGAAGCAAAGGTCACCGACTTTGCCCAGGAGGTTCAAAAGCGTCTCCCTCTCTCTCCCTGCCTCGCTCTCTCCTTGGCTCTCCAGCTCTCCGTTGGCACAGACAATCTTGCTCCAGAAACTCGATTTCAAATTACCATTCGTTGGTGGCATTATATGTACGTTGAACTTCTTTCGGCACCGTGCTAATCGGAGGTACTCGCATGCAATTCACACGTGAGTACAGCGCCTTGTTAGCAGTACGCTCCTGGGTGAGGGTCTGCCCAACCCGGTTACGAGCTATGAGAAATATATTTTTGCGTACCATACTTCACAACGCTGGACAGTGCAGGTTTATGAAGGTGGTGGCGGGGGTGGGCAATGATGGATGTTCTGCACTGCACTGTATTGCCCACAACGCCGACTGTGCCTGCCTTTTTCATGGTGGTGGTCACCCACAACCCAGGCGCAACTCCTGCTTAGCTTCTAAGATCTGATGAGATCGGGTGCATTGCGGAGCGTTTGGTCATTTATAAACATCATGATAAAATGTGAATTTATTGAACGTTTTGGAGAATTGCTGGATAAATCTCAACAAAAAAAATACTGTGGATGGCCGCCGCCTGTTTATCGTTGTAATTACCGTCTGCCTCGTGCTCCCCATGCTATCTTCGTCCTCAAGATGAAGCTATCGCAGTTAAAGCCGTTGATGCCACAGCACCTCGGCAGAATTTTCTACCCTCCCCCCCGCAGCTGGTGCACCGTCGACATGCGGACCTGCAAGATCTGCCACGACTCCCACCATCTGCTTTTTGATTTTCCCCTCGGTCGCCGGACCCGTGGAGACAATGCCAATGCCTGTCTCGGTAACCAGCTCTCCTCCATCCTGCACGCCCGTGCCAAATAATCACAATCCACAACGGTCACGCGTCGCGTTCCCTTCCGCACATCCATGTTGCCTCGCCACAAAGCTGCCAGCCCTCGTCTCGAGTCGCCTGCGCCCCAAACGTGACCGTCGTCCCCGGCCTCCCCGGCCAACGTGTTCCACGTACGACATCCCGCTGATCTCGACAAGGAGCATGAACCATCCTGGCAGCAGCCAGTTTTTCGCAAGCCATCGAACAAAGACGGCCACCGCATCGCGAGCTTTCAGATGCGCTTTTGCGGCCACCTGGAACGCTCTTCTAATATTAGGAAGCCACTGGAGCTATGCACTTATACATCTAGTGAGAAAACGCATTTCTTTACAACTGCTTTTCGTATTTAGTTTGTTGTCCTTCCCCCGCACCTCATATTAGTACGGTGCGAAAGAAGTTCAACATAGTGTACATTCGGAGATACTCGCGGGGGCTCGCCGGCGAGACGTCACCGGGGTACGGACGCGAAACGAGTCTCTCGCGTCGGGGAACACCGTGTGGACGAGCGCCATGTGGCTGCCAGAGCGACAGCTCGCGCCGCTTGCCAGCGAGACTTCCGCTTGCAAGCGTGCCGCTTCGTTCCTTGTCGTCCAAAAAAAAAGTGTGGAGGGCAACGACCAGAGGCG